AAAGAGATCGGACGGTTGGCCGATAGCACGTCTCTGGGCATGGGTTCACCCTCCTGTATTGAATTCCATGCCGCCAGCATGGGTGCGGTTAGTAGATCCGAGAAGGTTTTATAATACAGGGGTGATACAGGGGTAATACAGAGGGTGAAGCCGTCAGGGCCTGGGGCCTTACCCGTGTTGGTGTGTTTAATGGCTGCCTCTGGTTCCATAGATGAAATCGGGGATTCTAGTGATTCGCGTATCTCAGGAGAAAGGGTGAGCATGGCGGATGCTTCCAAGTAAGCCCGAATGCTTTGTTGTCGCTTCTTCAGGGCCTGGGCGTCCCGGGGGCCGGGGAGATTGTAGAGGTTGGAATAATAATCCCGAAAAGCCGTGACTATGTTGTCCGAGAGGTGACACATCCTTACTGAGGAGGACTTTATGGCTGGGACGTATGTACGGGATTGTTATTGCCTAAGAGCCGGTTGAGTGATAGGTATAGTCCCTAGTGTCAGGGTGGTGAATGCGCCATATGTCGGACAGCTGGTGGGTGAGAAGGCATTTTTTATGGCGTCTCAGTGCCGCAAAGGGCAGGTGGGAGGACTGGTTAGTGGAATCTACTACAGGGTCTAAGTGTAGATTAAAGTCCCCCCCCCGTGGTAGAATGGAGGGGGTGTGATACCACGAATAAAGGGAGGATAGGTAACAGAAATATGCAATATATAAAATATACACTATAAATATGTAGTAGGGAGTTGTTGTTTTTTTTTTTGTTTTTTTGTTTTTTACATAATATGGGAGTAAACACCTAAATAATATACAAAATTAATTAATATGAAGCACTAAATACGGAGGTAGAAAATAGCACAATATAAATGGGGACTCACGAGCATACACTCACGGAAGTCATCCATTTGCAGCAGAACCCGTTCCAGAAAGGTCACCTGGCCTTCGTTGGGGGCGTATATGTTCACAAAGGTCACCGTGTGGTTGCCCACCTTGCCCTTCACCATCAAGAGGCGACCCTCCTCCCCCGAGGACATGTCAGTGAGCTGCCATTGCATTGATCGAATAATCACTATACTGACTCCCCTTGACTTTTTGTCAGTGGAGAAGCTGTGGTACGTTAACGGAAAGTGGCGGTCTCGGAGAGAGGGAGCCCGCCCCTCTGCGAAGTGGGTCTCCTTGAGGAAGCCCACCTGTATTTTTTGTCTGTGAAGGTCCGTGAGCACCATCCTCCGCAGGTGGAAGTGAGGAGGGTCAGCATAGAAGGTCAGTCCACAGTCTGAGGTCTCGAGCCTGCTTGCATCTGGGGTGATCGTCCAGTCGGGAAGGCCGGCCGGAAAGGTAGATGTGGCCGCATCTGGAGATCCTTTTCAAAGCTCAGCGGAACCGGGAGGGTCGTCCATCCGCCGGACAGGAGGGGCAGTGGATGATGGTCAGGTAGGCCGCCGAGCCCAGCGGGGCTTTGGGGACATCGGGGTCTCGTCAGAGAGGTGGGCAAGCCAGTCTGGCAGTCATACTGGAGGTATCTGGAGTAACTCGCACAGGCCTGGCACATCAGCCGGGGATCGGACCGTGAACGAGGCGCCTTCCTTGCGGACATGCAAGCGGATCGGGTATCCCCATCTGTAGGAGGCGCCGGCCTGGAGGATCAGCTAGAGGAGGGGGCGAAGCAAGGCCCGGCGCCGTAGGGTGTTGCGTGAGAGGTCTGGCAGAACCTGTAGGGCCACCCCATCGAATTCGACCGGTTTCTTCAGCCATGTCTGGCGTAGAATGTCCTCCTTCATAGAGTAGTATTGAAGGCGGCAGACAACGTGTCTTGGGCGCGATGCGTCCGGAGACGGTGGGCCTAGAGTGCGGTGCACTATATCGAGTAAGATGGAGTCCGGGGCCGCATCGGGGAGTAGGGAGCCAAAGATAGCTTGCACCATGGAGTGGAGGTCCACAGGGTTGGTTGCCTCCGGTAGGCCCCCCGGTGTCACAGCACCCGGTTAGGTTGGATCTCAGCTGCGGATGTCATGGAAGTAGTATGAGAAAAGGTGGCTTAGTCTGCGGATCCCGTTACACTCAGTGCGGCGGGATTACCGTGGGCATCATGTACCACCTGGAGAATAAGAATCGGTAGGACCTATTTAGGCAATAGTGGGTTAATAACTGTAAGGGTAGCTATTAAGGTACGGAAGGACGACCAGGCTGAGGAGGTAGGGGAGTTGTCACCTCTAATTGCAAGCATGCGCCGCAATCTGAACAGGGTACACCTAATTGGTCCCACGATACTAATATGCAATATTCAGCAGTATAGGTTTATGCCAGGGTTAGAGTTCTCCTTAACTGTAACACAGTACTAGTATGCAACATGCAGCAGTATGAGTTTATGCCAGGGTTAGAGTTCTCCTTAACTGTAACACAATACTATTATGTAACAAGCAGCAGTATGAGTTATACCTCCAGAGGGTTAAATGGAGATAGGCTCCAACAGTTCAGAGTGTACCAGAGCAGAAACGACAAGCTAATATCACAGCTATTTGTTGAAGCCTTGCAGCAGAGGCAGCAGGTTGTTTGCCTCCACAGCCAGGTACTTGCAGTTAGTTGGGATCCCAATTAAGGGGGAGAGGAGTGCCGCCTGGTTGCCTGTTTTGCTGGGTCCGGTTCCAATGGGGCTGAAGTCAGAGCGGGGTCGCCATGAGGCTGCAGGGAGACCGAGAGGTTCGCTCTCGCAGAGGTTTGCGGGGATCGCTGTCCATCACTCGACGAACCAAATTAAGAGAACGCCGAGTGATCGTAACAGCTGGGTTTTTACGTGCGGGGCCTCGCGGAAGCGAGGAGACTCGCCGGCCGTATCCTTGACACCCGGATTCTCACGTTCTGGCGCCGGCTGCGGTCCTCGATACTTCCATATACGCAGTTGGAGGGCCGCAATAAGCAGTGAGGCCTCCGGATGTGTGTGCTCTAAGGCCTGAACCCTGGCTTCCAGGGTGGATACTGCGGCTACCTCTGTAGAGACCGGCTGGATCCTCTGCCGTACCTTACGCAGTTCACGCTGGAGGGCCGTCTCCACTCTGGTGACCAGGGCCGCAAAGTCTTCCTTAGTGGGTAGATAGTTCAGCAAGGCCCGAAACTTCTGCAGGAGATCGGACGGTTGCTTGCGGGATGGATACGGGTCCGCATCTGTGGAGTCAGAGTCATAGATCCGAGGTGAGTGTGTCCCAGAGCGGGATTCACTTGGTGCTGGAGACAGAGAACGGGCATTGCCTTGTGGCATGCGCTGGAGACGAGGCTCGGACGCCATGTTGGACTGGTCCCGGCCGCGGGGCCTGTTCCGCGTCGAGGTAAACATTTTTTGCATCGGGGGGGTTCCCCGCTGTGAAGCTGGCGTACCCTCTTTTCTGCGTTTGGACATCTTTTGTGGCCCAAGTTGGGAAGGTATAAGTCAGTATAGGTAGTGTATAGTTGACGAAACCCACGGAGATTTCTGCGTTTGCTTCTTACTCAGCCATGAGCAGGACACGCCCCCCATCCTATTCTTTTTATGGCTGCCCAGTTCCCAGCACCATGCCAGTGTGTGTGGTTGTCAGGGTACCATGCACAGGCGTCCTCACACCACATGCAGGTACCCACGCAGGATGACCAAATTAATATGCCCACACAGGATAGGGTTCTATGCACACAGTTTATTTGCTACACAACAACACTACAAACCCTCTCAACCCCCCACAGGTTTAGCAGTGAAGTAATAAACCCACCATTGGGACAAACACACACCTACAGCCAGGGGGAAGCAACAAGGAGGGGTAACAGGCCTGCAGATATATGGCAGGCCACAGGATAAAAGAAGTGGTCAGGTACAAGCCGGGTCGTTAACAGGAGGGCAGCAGCATGGTACAGGAACAGGATCCAAGAGAGTGGTCGGGTAACAAGCCGGGTCGGTGACAGGTCTGCAGATAGGAAGCAGGGTTTCAGGAAGCAGGGTTCAGGTTTATGGGAATCAGTTAAGTGCAGGCGACGCAATACTGAGCCAGCTTCCTGACTGCAGGTAGGGCCTAAATACCCTCCCAGGAAGCACCAGGTGATGGGATGAGCAGTCACAGCTGGGGCACACCCGCAGGTGAGTACTGGAGCTGCAGGTTCATTACAGTCCCTGGCTGCTGGAGACACCCGCAGGCGAGCACAGGAACTGCAGGACCTGGCTCCAGCACCACCTGGGGGTGCTCTGGATCATGACAGTGGTTTGTTACAAAACAGTGGGAAAGTTTTTGAGGAAGACCTGTCTCAGTTTTCCAATAGCAGTCAATAGGATTTGTGCATTTATTCTCTTATTCTGCAGTGGAGGAATGAAAATGAGGGTCTGATTGGTTGCTCTCTGCAATAGGGATTGTTAGAGACCATTCTGCCCTATGAAATGTTAATACATGTAGATACATTTTTATTTTATAAATGGTGAAAAGTGGAATGATACTCACAAAATAGTAGGTAACATTAAGCTTTCAAATCAAAGGTTGATCCTCAGCCTTGGCAAAAAGCAAGAGCAGAATGAGAGAGCTGCACAAATGGTGGTTCCTATGTGACAGCACAGTATGCCTCAGTTTACGCGTTTCTGGGGCCACACCCCCTTCCTCAGACCCTCAGAGGTTCTGAGGAAGGGAGCGTGGCCCCGAAAACGCCCCCGAGAACATGCTGATCTAGTTGTTTGCCAAGACTGAGGATCAACCTTTGATTTGAAGGCGTAATGTTACCTACTCATTTGTAAATATCATTTAACTTTTTGCCATTTATAAAATAAAAATTTATCTACACTAGGGAAGGCGCCCCTTGTTTTTGTTTTCTCATTAGATAATACAGTCTCCCTGACTGATGTGGGGCAGCGACCTGTAGAACTTCTGCATATATATTTATTCATTGGAGTGGTCATCTCTGGCGCTATTGGTTTTTATTTTTAGATAAACAGTACTGTTATTAGAGGAGTCTGCACCATTATAGCCATATATTGGTGTTAATAGAATGATGTGTTTTCTGTACAGACAGGTGGGGTTCTCTCTCTAATAGAGTGTACGCTGATTGAAGAACCAGATATAAATGAAGATGACTGTAAGTAAACCTATTTAGCTTTTTACCTTCTATATGAACAGTGGTATATGTGCATGCATGGTATAACTGTGATTCTGGAGGCAGGTATATGCAAACTTTAAAAGAGAACTATGGCCAAACCTTTTTGGCTGTAGTTCTCTTTTGGGTCACAGGAGTACATTTACTAATGTACTCCTGTGACCCAAAGTCAGAATATATGCTGACAACACAGAGCCGCGCTGCAGCCAGAAAAGATCCCGACAATATTCCACTCCTCTGCCTGATTGACAGCTGGCTCTGCTTCTCTAGAGCCAGAGTGAGCTGTGCTTGCCCACTCCCCTGTTTGTCCCTCCAATGAGTGCTGGAGGGACAGAGAGAGGGGAGAGGGGCACAGTCACTGCTCTCTGCAAGGAGAAGCCATGATCCCTCAGTTCTCCAACTATAGTACAGTGTCACACACCATCTCAAACTATTGGGATGAGCACATTTTACTATCCCAATAGTTCTCCTTTAAGTCTACACACTAGGGCTGCAACCAACTAATCGATAATAATCGATTATGAGAATAGTTGTTAGCTATTCTCATTATCAATTAGTTGGTTGGATCCCATAGCACTCTACTCCACGCTTGGAGGAGGGCACAGCAAGCAGTGGGTGGGTGCAATAGCCAGCCTGCTATTGGCTGTTGCAATTTGAAATGACCAATAGCAGGCTGGCTATTGCACCAGCCCACTACCTGCTGTATTTACATTCAGCTGCCATCTAAGGAATCTTGCCACTGGCAGCTGTCATTCCTTGGCTGAAGCTATTCAAGCGCCATGTGCTTACAATACAATTATTACACAAAAAAATATAAAATGTGGGAAAAAAGTAATTTTCAGTTTCAGCTTGACAAATTCTGCCGCGGAAGGTGCTTTGCAGTGCCATTCATTTCAATGGCACCCCAAATGCGCCTCCCACAGTGTGATCGGTACCGCAATGCCGTGCGTTCCAGTGCAGTGCGATTGCAAAAAATTGTGCGGGGAGTTTTATTCTGAAGTAAACTTTGTTTGTAAACACCGCATTTGTGTATTTGATTTCAAATGAAAGATGGTATTTATTTATTTTTTTTATACGATTAATAGATCATTCGAAAAAATTAATCGGCCAACTAATTGATTATGAAAAAAATTATTAGTTGCAGCTCTACTGCACACCCCAGTGTATTCAGAAACAATTCATTCTAGAGATTCTTGGTTCTGATCATGGATTTGCTTTGCAGGCAAGTTATATACACCTGGGATGCAATGTAATTGCACACCTAATTTATGCCCATTCTGTGCAATCAGACCAGTTGTACGGAATGATTGGTAGGAGGCCAAAGTCCAATCTAAGGCATTCTAAAAAGTCCCAATAAGTCTGTAAGTGTGGACACGGAAAGCTTAATTAAGGCATATTTAATACATTTTCTGACTCCAGTGTAGTGACATTATTTCGTGCATTACATTAACACTTCAGTAAATGGTTCTAGTTGCTGCCTGCACTTCCTTTTTAATTACAGTCACTCAATATTAAACATGTTACAAGCACAGCACTCTTAAAACTAGCAGGAAACCTCCCATGGGAAATAATGTCAAATATGTGCCCTCAGCTATGCATGTTTCTGTTTTTAACATGTCTCTGAAGAAAACAGACTATAGCTTATAAGATAAAATGACTTTATATATGTACATGAAATGTGAAACTGTCAAAAGGAAAAGTCTAGCTTCAATGTATCAGCGGACACCTTTATTAACCAGAAACCTCTAATATATGTGCCTGTCTGAAACTAGCTTCTCTTTGTTACTTTTGTGGTGACTTCAGGAAAAGTCACAATAATGTTTGTGTTGTCTAAAGACGGTGCTCTTATTGGCCATTGACAGATCAATTGGACGGGATGGTTGGTTGTCGTTGAAGTTTAGCCCTGAAGCTGGTGCAGATAGGCCACTAGTAACATTCAAGGTTCAAGGCTCAACATGTGTTCTTTACTTCCACTGTACACTTTGGGGTTAATTTAGGAAAGTTGCAAGCGCCCCTAGAAGGAAATCTTATACTCATCAGTGCCTCACAAAGATGTTTATTATATGCTTGCTTTGTTTCACTTCTTTTTAATACTGTGTGAAGAGCCAGAGCGTGAAAGTGTGGAGTTTAGATTGTGCAAATGTGTTCCACAGCACAGGATGTCATGCTCTATAACTTGGTTACATTCTTACAAGATGAATTTAGAACCAAAAATGTACAAAGACTGAGGCTCCTGGTTTAGAAACTTTTGACAGCTCACTGTCATTAACAATAGTTTTGCATTTCATTTGTATCCATTGATTGACATCCTGCTATACTTCGGTAGAGCTGAGTCCATTGCTCACTAGGCACAGTGCATATTAGCAGCCTAAAATATGCTGTATTCCTTAAACAATTATATGTAATTCAAGCAGTGGGTAAGTAAATAACCAAACCCTACGTTCCCTGTACCTGTAATTAACTCCAACCAGGAAACAACAAGTAAACTTACATAATATTGGGTAATGTGCCCCTAATATTTTTCTGTTCACTGACTGTGGGCAGTAACTACATGCTGCAAGTCACAGTTTATAAGTCAGATCCCGCATGTGGCACTCAGGGTGCTCAGGCAAAGCTGTGAAATTTGAGCATTGTGTGTGGCAATTTTCAGGCCCTATAGGAGCCAAAAGAAGCAGGATTGTGACATACAGACATTTCTGCCAGGGTTTGTACCTAAGATCGACCTGCTTAAATACCCTAGTGCCGCGGTATTTTTCTAGCCTTCACCTGCTATCCTGCAGCTTTTGTTAAGCACTGCACCTTCCTGTCTGGGTCAGGGTTTTGTTCCTTGGTCATCATCTTGTCTTCCTGTTGCTGCTCCTGTGTTAGTTGCCCCGTCTTTTCCGTTATATATACGATTGTGTATCTTGTCTGTTTTCCAGATCCACACCTCTGGTGTGGCATCGGCTGGCTCGGATATTCTGCTTGGTACCTCCGTGGTACCAAACAGAATAGAAAAAACAGTGGAAAAAAAAGTAGCAAAAAAAAAGTTTCCAAATGTAAATAAATGAAAGATTTTTTAAAAATTAAAGATTATTGAAAAAAGAAAAAAAGATTATTGAAAAAAAAAAAGAAACAATTGTGCCGAGCTAGCAGTGACAGCTGATGCTAATCTGTCATTGCAACTGGGCGGAGCCAGCTGTGAGATATGGCTGGCTCCGCCCAGCTGTCAGTTGCGAGGCTTTTCGGCCGGCTGATGGCCGGCCTTTTGCCCCGCTTCGGGTTTCACGTGGGCTCAGTCGAGCCGAAACATATGCCTTCGGCTCGGGTGGGCCGCTCGGCCAGCTTCAAGAGCTGTACGGACTATAGTTAATAGTTCGTACAGCTCCCAAAGCTGGCCAAGGGGCTCAGCTGAGTGAATAGCCGGTAAAGCAGCCTTTTATTGGCAAATGTGGTTGTTAGTTTCAAGCACAAGGACACCAGCGGTGCAGTAAGCTTTATTTACATAAATTATTTGGCTCCTAAATCACAATGAGGTTATGATGTTGTCATGTTATATTTTAGATTGTAAGCTCTCCTTACCATCTTGTCTTGATTTGTATTAAAACTCTAATGTCCTCCTTATATTGTAATGCGCTGCGCAAACTGTTGGCGCTGTATAAATCCTGTATAATAATAATGTTGGTAATAATAATGTTGTAGTTCAAATAAAAATGAGTAGAATTCTGCTTTCGCCTACAAAAAATGTGTAACTGTTTACACCAAAGATTGGATTATTTTGTTGCTGATACTGCAGGGCTGGGACTGGGTCCAACTTTACTGGAGAATGTGAGTGACAAGTGGTGCAGGCAGCAGATAGAACTAGAAAACCTCATAACTTCCAAGCTACAAATTTGCAAGAAAACCCAGTAATTTCTCTCTTATCTCCACATGTTGTTCTGTCTTTGTTGTAGTATAAATGATGTAAGGGAGATGGTGACAGGCTCCCTCTGTCTTTTACTGTATCCATCAATGTCACTTCATTAGTTACACAGAAGGGGGTGCTTGTTATATGGAATCCATCTCACCCTACTGGAACACAGAAAACAAGACATGGGATTGTCATTGGATTCAGCGACATGACTGCAACTTTCTTTTTGACAGTGTTTTTAAGTTAAAGCAAAACTCCAGTCCAAATCCTACCTAACTCTTTGGCTGTGAGCATATTTCAACTACAAGGTGCAAAAACCTTCCACGAAAATCATAGTAATGGTATGCCCCTGACTGAGGTGTCACTACATAAAAATGGCTGCTAAAGTGGGGTTCCACTAGTCTCAGTGAACGCACCTCTTATAGCTTTCACAGTTTTTTTGGTCTAGAATAAGGGTTTGACCAGGAGATATGAAGCAGGCACCAGAGACTGAGTAATGAGCAGAATAGTAGATTAGGAATGGCAGGAATCACTTCTCAAATACAGTCCAGCCTTTGCTCAGGCACTGATATTTGGGAAGACAAACATAGGCTACAGCATGGCCATGAATGACTGCCAACAAGTGGTGTAGGCTAAGCACAACATTATCTAACCAGGAAGAAGACCTAAAGCTCCCTCCACCAGGCTTCACAATTGATTTTTTTTTTTTTTTTAAGTTGGCGTGTGCAGTGCTTTTTTCCCCTGCAAACAAAGCATTTATTGTAAGGTGTAGGCACCAGCTCAGGTTTTGGAACCACTACCGAACTACTGTTCAACTTTAGCAGCAACCTTTGGAAGATGCTTTATGTGAATACCGAGGGGTGTCTGTAGTCAAAAGTCATTGTCATTGATAAGAAGAGCCAAGCCTATAAAGCACAGCATGCAGTCAGTAATCAAAGCAAAAGCCAGTGCAGGTGGGGTATGAACAAGGTCAGGTTAAACCAAGAAAGAACAAGGAAGCATAAAAACAAGCTAACAAACTATTGAACATGCAGTTGGCCTTAAAAAACAAACCTGACTTAACACTTGTGTATGCTTGGCTTTGGTCCTGCAGTTGGACAGGAAGCCTGGGGGCATAGAAGAATGTTGTTGCATATACTTGGATATGGGGGGTAATCTGCAGTTCAGGGGGACCTAACAGATAGGGATGAAGGACAGCAAGATTCAGTGAGAGAAAAGGATAGAGCGCCAGAGCACACCAACACCAAGAAATAAGAAGGAGTTCTGTCAGAAGGATCAGCCAGTGAGGATTGTTGCTTTTGCTGATACTTGCTACTAGGAAGAGCAGTACTGTATTTGCTTCATTTGTAGATAGTTGAACTGTGGACTAATGAACACCCAGGTGCTTAGAAATGGTTTCCCAAACCTCTCCAGCTTATGCCTCTCTACAATTCTTTTTCCTAAATCCTCTAGAAGTTCGGGGCATGGTTCACTGGTCCATCACTAATCCATTTGAGTCTAATTATGCTCTTTATAACACTTCATTATCCTAGCGGCCACATACTTTCCATCAAGGATTGGAGCATGATGGCGCATTCATGCAGAAATCTTGGTCATTTCAGGTGTTTTACAAACTCTTTCTTGCTAGAAATTATAATAACATGTTTATAAGTGCTGTCAAATTTGTGGCTTTGTACTAAGACTAGACATGCAGAATTTTATTTAGAAATCTTCAGGAAATGGCATGCATTAGGAAATACATATATTCTTGTACAAACATTTTCCTCCTTTATGTTGTAATGATAATTTTACTCTCTCAAGCAAAGGGGTCTGGATATGTGTTTGGTCATCTGGATTTTAAAATTGTGGTGGAATCGGTAGATGCAACACCCTTCACTGTTGTCCTTCTGGCTCCTTCTCGTCAAGAAAAAGCTGCTTGGACCAGTGACATTAGTCAGGTAAGAATTTTAATCATAGCAAAACAAAAGCATAAAAGAAACCCTGACATGAATTCAAATACAGTTGGGTATTATCACTAGGGCTCTTTCAGTGTGACATAGGGACATTGGTACTGAGTTTAGCACTGAAGGAGCAGGGATTAGATGGCAGAGTTTGCTGGGTACATGCATACACTATTTGTAGTATTGTTTTCATTTGCTTGGTCCTTGATGACACGATTACTAGAAACAATGTAATAGCAACACATTGATAGACAGGTATCCAGTGGCTTTTCAGCCAAAAATGGAAAACCCTTTACTTGTTCCCACTATGGCGAACTGTTACACAACTCATAACTTACACAACAGGCTCATAAACCCATTAAGAGCTGCACTAGAACTCCTGAAAGGTTTTACTGTCGCTTAAGGTTCCATTGGGGAGAGTCCTCTGCTTACTGTCAGGTAAAAAGGCTGTTGCCAGGACAGGAGCTGAGGTGAAATCTCTCTAACCGAGACAAAAGTAAAAATGCTTTTTTTTTAAAGTTGGGTAGGGGGATGCTAGAACACCAGATTTGTATAGATGTCTCTTTCCCTGTTGCAGATTCTTCCACACTTTCCTTCTGGTTAAAGGTTGTATCTAATACAGGGAATAAGGGAAATCTCTCTAACAGAGCCCTGGACAGCAGTAAAACCTGAGCGGTTTTAACCTGTCCCCATTCTATCCAATACTGAAAAAAAAAAATTGGTTGTAGATGCACTTTAAATCCAGGACACTGCGTCTGCCAGTAAATATACCAAAATGATTTCACCAATGCTGTTTTTGAAATTGATATAAATAAAGACAGATATTTAGGAAGAAATGTCTCTGGAAATTTTGGTAGTTAAGAATGAGTTGAGGGTTTTTTTTTAGAGAATATGTATACATTCCGGAGTCATCTCAAGCCGCTGTAGTGACCATGCCCTTTATTTAATCTTGACAGTGTATTGAGAATATTAGATGCAATGGCCTGATGAGCAATGTGTTCGAGGAGAACTCTAAGGTTACAGTTCCACACATGATCAGGTAAGAGATGACCATATTTGAGTGTTAACTAGTGACCTTTTACCAGTCATTTTATTTGCAGTGCTCTGGGATCTCAGCTTGATAATTGTCCACTATGCTACTGAAATCCCACAGACATAAATGGTGGGCAGCAGCCACTCTTGTGGTAAGAACAGTGCCCACTGGAAATTGATTATAGATGATTTTCCATATGTGGGGAATAATTGTTTTGGTTGTATAATAGTTTGATTTTTATCCTTAAGGTGCCAGCATAGTACTTGGAATGGTGGTTTTGCCCAGGCCATATAGGTATGAGGAGAATGTGGCAAGCAACACATTTCTTAATAAATCAGTGAAGGTGTATTTTGGAAGTAGATAGTTTCAGTGATTAATAAACTTTCAGTAGTAATTTATCATTTCAAAGGGTACTATAGGAGGCTAAAAAAAGATGGTAGTGGTTTTGTTGAAAGCTGGTCATACATAATACATAGATGCTAAGCCTAGCCACTACATTGCTTACAGGTGATGAATAAAAGCATTTATATATGCATAAAGTAAAGCTGCCTGTTAATGCATACCTATGGTGTGTATGGGCTTCATTGGTTTCCTTATAAATGCCTAGATTATACTGCACTGTTAGTGCATGGGTGAGCTTGATGCAGCAGCTTAAATCCATTCCTGTAAGACACAGGTGAATGTGTGTATTGGATGGGGGTGTTTTTGGAGGTCGAATCATTGAAGTCAAATTCTAACCACTTTTCTGCAATTTTTCTGCAAGTTGCAAATGTATATACCCCACCAATGTGCCACTAGCTAGTAGAATAGTAAAGCTGACACTTTCTAAAAAGTCACTGAATCAGAACTAGTAAATGGTACAGGGACATCTGCTTTCGCCTAATCACACAAATGTGTTGCTTCATGACAGAGTCCCTTTAAGTGAATATACTGTATATCTTAAGGAATATGAATTGATAACCACAATGTGAGAAATCCTGTAAAAAAGGGTATTCTAATGGGCAAAAGGGTGAAAACACACAGCAGAATTTGCAAAGCAAAAACATTTTAATATTTGATGTTTGTATAACAAAAAACAATGAATAATAAACACGTTGAGGCCACTTTACTAAAGAAGTTGAGAATTGTCACACAATAAATTGTGTCAATATTTATTTACATTTTCCAATTATGTGAAAAGCAAATTCCTGTTTACTTATTTCATCTGCACATGATTGGATAAATGAAGTGAATATTTACATAATTTATTGTATGAAGCTTCCCGACTCCTTTACTAAATCGGCCCTATTGTATTTACAGTATTATTATGTTTATTGTATTGTATTTAGATGGCTTTGTAATAAATTAACTAGTTGAAAATGGTACTGTAAACGTCCACTATAGTCTATTACTTTTGGATTAAGCTGGTCAATTTTGGGATGATGGTACAGGACACAATTTGAAAGAAGGTTAAATGGACAAAAAGAGAACAATAAAACAAAGATTGTATGAGCTTACTAAAGAACAGATAGATAAAGTCAGTTTACCCAAGTATAAAAATTGACCCAAAACCATTTAGGTTGAATTAAGGAATGATTAAGGCCATCTTTAATTAAATAGATGTATACAGTATTTCATCAAGTGAGAAAATGCTTTTTTTGGAACATACATGAAAGACTACATACAAAGCTCTAGACAAATATACTTTATACATGTTAAGCCTTATAACAACAATACTGTGGTATGAAAAAAAAACAGAGAAAGATTTACTAGTATTATTTCATAGTGATTTGTTCTTACATCCAGTGGCACATTTTAACTTCAGTAGATGCATTATAATTTAACTTGTGCTTTTGAAGGCCATCATTTATAGTCACTACATGACATAAACCTATGAATGTGTCCAGCTGAGACAAGCTTCTTGTTCATGAATGTTTTTAGATCGGACGCAAGACTGCATAAAGATGATGTAGATATCTGTTTTAGTAAAACCCTGAACTCCTGCAAGGTCCCTCAGATCCGCTATGCCAGTGTGGAGCGTCTTCTGGAGAGATTGACTGACTTACGCTTCCTCAGCATCGATTTCCTCAACACCTTCCTGCATACCTACAGGATATTTACCACGGCCTTTGTGGTGCTAGAAAAACTGGCTGATACCTACAAGAGACCTTTCACATCAATTCCAGTCAGGTATGTTCAGTACAACCCTGCATAATGTGTGCTTACTTTGCTTGTGTAATTGCTATCAGGTTCATTTAAAGTAAACCTGTCATGAGAGTGATATGGGTGCTATAATGGTTGACCTTCTTCTGAAAGTTACTTTGCTCCTATGCTGACAAAGTAGCTTTAATACTGACCTAAAAAAGGAATGCAGATTAGTAAAGTCGGAGGTTCTTGTCTGCCTGTGTAGTCCAGGTCAGCTACTCATAGAAGTGAAACAAGAAGATCAGCATGACAAACAGGCAACTAGCATTTTCAGGGGAAGTCCTAATCATTACATATTTTATGTGTCATGAAAATGCTGCAGATTGTAGAGCTGGTCAGGTGCACATATGTGCAAAGTATTACAGTATAACTAAAGGCAAAACCTTTTTTTTTTTAAATATTTGGATAGAGTGTTGATGGGTTAAAACCTCGCTGAAGTTGTAATTACTGTCTGGGTCCTGGCACTTCATTTGCTGCTGATATTGCCAGCAATTACTGGCTGTGAAAATGACAGCAGGGAATTGCTATGGATTACAAAGCAGGAGCGGCTGTCCTGTGTAGAATGATACTTGCAGATAGACTGCAGGTGTCATTGAGCAATATGGTGTATGTTACACTGTATATTTTATTTCATTCATATGTAGATTCAAATTGTGACCTTAAGTGTGTGAGTGTGTTTGGTAAATTAGAATATAAACCTCTGGGGGACAGCGAATTATGTGAATGGTCATATGTACTCTTTAAATTGCTGCATAATATGTTGCACGATATACTGTAGATATAATAGATATGATAAATAAATACATATAATGGAGTTTAGAGTCACAGAGGGAACTCCATTCATTGGCTGGTGATGAATGTTGCAATGAATGAAAAATAGATTGGCACTTTTTTTTTTTTCCTCTCTCTACTACTTCTTTAGGTCTCTAGAACTCTTTTGTGCTTCCAGTCAAAGCCTGAGTGATGGGAAGTCACCACATATCTGTCGCAAGTTTTCTTCTCCGCCTCCCTTATCGCTCTCTAGGACATCATCACCTGTCAGAGCGAGGAAGTTATCTCTGAACTCTCCACTGAACTCTAGGATTGGAGCCTTGGACTTATCTACATCATCCAGTGCCAGCAGTCCAACTTCCATATTTAGCCCAGCCACCTCCCCACCTCCCAGCACTAATAAAGTACCTCTAGACCTCAGCAAAGGACTCTCCTCACCAGAGCAAAGTCCAGGAGCAATTGATGAGAATTCAGAAAATCCTCGCATTGATCTATGTAACAAGCTACGAAGGAGTATCCGTCGAGGTATGTATACAGCTTCATGCTCACGTTCACTGTTAGAATCCTATCTTCTTTAAATATAGTTCCTGTGAGTTATTTTCAGCAGCTAAACACTAACGTGCCAATTTCAAAGTTTAAAGGTGCCTACATTTTCTTGTTTGTGGAAGGAAAACTGGAAACCATGCCACTATGGGATGACAACCCCAATGCATTTTTGTATCACTAAATTTGTTATGCTTGATATGATTGTATCTGATAAATGATACAACATTATAAAATATCCTGGGAAATGTTCTTAGTATAACAACCTTTCAAGTGCAAAATGATTAGAAGCATTTTAGCTCCTTCACATTGTCTCAAGCGGGTATTTGAGACAGAACTCCAGACAAGGAACAATTTAGTTATGAATATGTTCTGTAAGTAACTGTTAATCTACACTGAAAAAAAGACACTTGTCTCCCATTCTACTTCTGTATGTTGTGGACACAAGCCAGCAATTGCCTACGCTGCAATTTGATCCAGCATCTGACCCACCTACACCCGGTCTGCTGTGATTACAGATGTCCACACATCTGTTGGGGACATGCTTATACCATTCAGTTCTGCAGTTCACAATAACAATGCCAAGTTTAGAAAACTCAATATGACATACTATGTAATCAGAATGTTATCATGACTGCAGTTTTCTTTTTAGGGCTACAACAAAGTCTCATACATGGTACTCATGTCAGGGTATAATGGTGTGATGGCACCATGTTGCTAGTTTTACTTCTTTTGTCATTTCATCCAGCTACTAGTTATGTAAAAAAAATGAACTCCCTTACACTAAACAAAGTATACAAATGAATGTGCAGTGAAGTGACTGGCTGCTAGATTTATTTTTGCTAGTTTGTCAGAAAAGACAGCTCAATTCAGCCATGTGACTGTGATTTTTAAACCTTATTGGCCTCAGCTAAACATGACTGTCACTTTTCTAAAAATAAGGATCCTTACCCTGGTGTGTTGCCTTTCCAAATTGAGCCTATATACTGTGTTTGACTAGTCTATAGCCTTCAATATGATGAACTAGTGAACTTTTACTATTGAATGAGGCTTATTTATGTCAACCATTGAAAAATAAGTGCTCACAGCAGCCAATCATCTTCTCCATTTCTATTTCTAAATTATAATAGATGGGGCAGACATATTGACTGTTAAGCCTAGGCTAACTAACATCTAATTATTGCAGTCAAAATTGGAAACAGAGCACATGGGTATCATACATGAAGTAACCATTCTCCAAAAGATATTGAACTAAAGTAAACGAATCCTAGATTCAGGCAATCTTGTTCTTTAAACAATGTGAGACAAGTCATTTGTAAATTATATAGCACTGGCATCCTACAGCTTCTGTTTAGGCCCAATTTTTCATCCCTTCCACACAGCTGTGTGGCTGCACGGCAGCCTGTTAGTGTAAGTCCTATTCCTCCTGATGACTTCAATGGTTTAATCCAGTAATCACAGACACAACTGGATGGGATGTGCCTGTGAGACTAGAACAGAGGGTGCCTAGGCACTGTCATGTGTGTGGAACGGCTCTGCTCTAATCAGGAATAGGTTGGACTCGATGGACTTGTGTCTTTTTTCAACCTGACTAACTATGTAACTATGTATAATGGCCAATTTTTTATAAACTATTTACTATATTAAATTATGCTAATGAATTCTTGTTGGGCAGCCAAACTTTATTTTCGAGGAAAGGTTCACTCTTAAACTAAAGAGTAACTTGTCTGTAAGGCACAAGGAAATCTGAATCGCTTCATCTGTCTGCTACATTAACCAGTCTGGAATTCTGTGAAGCTGAGATCCATGGGAAACGAGTTTCTAGGTTTTCCAGGTTTTAGGGTTCAACCAGGGGTGTCTCTACACTTTTCGCCACCTGAGGTGGGGGGTTTGCTGGTGGTGCCAGGTTTTGGTGGTATTAAAGGGGATAGCTGGCGGTGCACGTAACCAGTGGGGTGGTGTTGTGGGTTCTGGTGGTGCCAAGATTGAAGTTGACAGTAAAAGTAGGTCACTGGTGGTAAATTCATTTTAGATACCAGTATTGCTTTGTATAATGAAGAACATATACATTTCAGTGTGGTGTATACGATATACGTGTTTATTGTTGTAAGGTTAAAATTGTATTTCCCCCTTAATAAAAAAAGAAAAATATCTATTTATGTGCTGTCCTACTAATAATGTGTATGTTGCTTGGTTGCAGCTGCAGTTTTAGAATCTGTGTCACTCGACAGGAGCATTCCTGAAAGCAGTACCTCCACAGATACTGCAGAAAACTCTCCCTGCCGTTCCCCATCAACTCCACGTCACCTCCGGTACCGGCCAGCAGGAGGTAATAAGAATGCATCTGCAAGTGTCTGGTTCCATATTTTAATGCCCAGTGAATTGCTCACATGTGAAGCAGAATAACACGGGTGCAGAGCAGACTAAGATATTGCATTATTTGTTTTCTTTTTAAATTTGGGCTGCCACTGTCAATCAATACTACAGGCTTCTTTTATTTATAAAACCTATCATAGGAGAAACAGGGACTTCCATTGTTGACATCTACGTCTGAAAATTCTAGTTGCCTGGCAGCATACTACCAACTAGTCTCAATATTTTAAAGTGACATTAACCCCTCAGATTTTTTAACATAAAACAATACTATAATGTGTGCCTTACTGTAATCCATGGTTGTTTCCCTTCTCTTTGCTGCTTTTCCTTTTAAATCTGTATCTGTTCTCATGCTGGGCAGAACTTCTGTTTTGCAGCAGACTGCCTTGTCTCAGGAATGTATATATGGTGTCTGTCTATAGGTTTGTATAGGTTTGTAACCTGAGCCAGCACTACAGGAAGAGGCAGTCAGCTGCAAATGGAAGTTCTCCCCAAGCATGAGAAGACATGAGGATTTAAAAGGAAGAGCAGCAAAGAGAAGGGAAACTACCATGGATTACAGTAAGGTACACATTACAGTATTGGTTTATGTTACAAAATCTGAGGGGTTTAATGTCACTTTAAGTATATGTAGTTAGCCCCCCCTAGTGCTGAAAATGTGTACAAACATAATTTCAGCACCAAGGGGAGCTAATGCCAGCAGATTCACCTACAGGGTAAACTCTATTCTTTACATGAACTGTACATGTGAGGTTCAGCGATTGTTCCACAGCTTCTGCATTTGCCTGGTGCATATGCATCCTATTGTAAATAGGGTAATTATGACTGTGGACTGCTAGACGAATGTCAGTATAGTTTTCACTTGGTGAATTTCCTAATTAGTACTTCATAAATAGAACACTAATAGGCTGGCTACAAACATGTGTCCTTTGGGTGATTCTCTGGGGTTTTTTGTATGTTAGTATGTTGCTGTTAGTAAACAAATGGTTACCTAGAGGAGGTCTTCGGCCGGGCTCATGTAAAAGCATCAGTTTTTTTGCACCTTATGTCTTTATCTGCAGCCAGGCATTCATATTCCTGAGAAGCCAAAAAAATGTGTTTCTTTTCCTTGCAATTATGACACCAGAATGTTGTAAATTAAATTTGACAGAAAGCGCATCCCCATGACTTTAATTTTTGGTAAGATACTGGCTGGGCACAGTATTTCTTATAACAATACAGAGACTCATCAGGTTATGGAAGGCAGAGCCCCATACTAACCGCTCACTTTTAGAAAGTGCACTAGTTTGGCTTTTCTCAGTATGTACTGAACATACCTAGGAAAGTATTTACATCAAAGTTTGCTAAAATACTTGGGATATACAATTGGAACAACAGATCCACATAAAGATTTGCTCCATTGAAACAATATGCCTATGTCCAGTACTGAATCCTTATAAGGACTGCCCCTCATTTTGAGCCACACATGATGTGAGTAACTTTTGATACAGTTGTATCCACTTTTGAAACACAGTATTTGTGCCTGCAACAGTGACTATCCGCCACTTAGGTGGTTTACAAATCATCACCTGAATTATTACAGCTGGGTTACCCAGGGGAGGTCGTTCTTTGTTTTTTAATGGTTTTAGATGTCTTACAGTAGGTGATTTATTGTTATGTGTAATTTCTATTTCATTAAATATCACCTTTTATACACTACTACATTATGTGCTACATGTGCTATTTGTATATCAGACTACTCCACGAAAGGGATTTCTTTGCTTAGGGGATATAATATATTTTTTGAACTGGATATACAATTGACTAGAAATATACTATTAACAAAATATATTTTTTTTTGTGTTCCAATGAAAAAAATTGTTAATTTTACAAGATATACCTAACTGGACATTGACCTTTTCTAATAATTTAATTAACCTATCACTAAAGAAGACCTTGCTAGGATTTGACTTGTGTGCTAAAACTGATATAGAATAAGCATATCAAAAAAACACTATATATCTAGGGAGATAGCTATAGAACTATGTTTTGTATTCTGCCATGGTAACTAAAGCTCAAGGTGAAAATATTTATTTGTACTCAAAAGATTGATTTATGGAGAGTGTCGTCATGGTAACCTGCCATAGATAAGCTATTCAGTACATGGAGAAATGCTTTGTTAATATTTGCATATAGCTATGTCCCAGCAAAATACTTGTTGCTATTGTTAAGAATACAGTGTTGTCTCTGTCACAGTATGGGTATCAACAGTCCCTTATATTTAGTTATGTGTACCAAAATGAATCTCTTCATGATCAGATTGAACCTAGGGCAAAAATTGTCAAATGTAATTGTGACCCAAATTTTACAGATTTGCCATATCTGTACAATTATTCTGAGATTTGGCACCAAGAATTGTTCCCAAAAAATAATGGAAACATATATATAACAGATCACAACATCTGTCTGTGTAAATATCCAACAAATCTGATTTTGCATCTATTAATTTTCCAGGTTACTGCATTACAGCATAAACAGGGAACTGGTTGTAGTACTAAACCAGTCATGGAGATGCTGTGTGAAATGCCAGAGAGTCAAGGGGCATTCACACTTTGTGTTTTCATGCATTTCATTCTTAAAATGGCTATATATCACCTTTCAAATATATACAATTAAACTCTGTCAAGGTGCACTCAGAACCTTTAAGTCATACAGTCATGTGGTAAAATTAAGTACACTCCATAGAAATTGTTGACTTTTTCAATATATTTGAACAGCCAAACATTAGATTTTCATTAAAATAGTAACTATAGATAAAGGTGATATACTTTACTTTTTGATAAATTGATGCCTTTTAAATAATGTATCCAACAAAAATATCAGTGGATGTTCTGCCAGTAAGTACAACCTTGACCTCAGAAGATGGCCACCTTAGCAGAAATTACTTCTTCCATAACTGCTGACCAGACTCTAATATCAACTCGTGAAAAACATTGACAAGTGAAAGATTTGGCCACTCCTCCTTTCACAATTACTTTAGTTGCAAGATGTTTGTGGGTTTTCTTCCTCGGGACTCAAATCAGGGCTTTGATAAGGCCATTCCATTTCCTCCATTCCTTCTTTTTGAGCCATTCCTTTATGAGTTTGCTTGCGTGCATGAGATCATTATCATGCTGATAGATCCATTTCCGCTTTGTGACAGATGGCTTCACATTCCCGTCAAGGACATGATTCATGATATGATTCAGATTTCATAGTTGACTTTATGGCTGCAAGCTGCCCAGGACCTGGAGTACCAAATTATAAACATTTACTCCACCATGCTTCACATTCAATATGAAGTTCTTCTCCTGACATGCTGTCTTCAGCTTGCGCCAAACTCTGTCTTGGATTCATCAGTCCACAGCACATTGCTCCAGAAGACCTGGCCTTTGCCTGTTTGATCAATGGCAAACGGTAGTCTTGCTCTAATGTTATTTTTGTACCTAAAAAGGCTTTTTCCTGAAACACATCCCAAGTTAAGTTGATGCAATCTCTTTCTGGTAGTAGGTGTATGCACTTCGACACCAACTGTTGTAAGAGTTACCTGCAGATTTCCCCTTTAAATTTTGAGGTTCTCAGAAACCAATTTTAGCATTATACAGTTGGCTCTGATTTGCTGAGCTGGCCAGTCCTGGACAAAATTAGCATTCATTTAAAATGCTTGCGCCATTTGTCGATTATTTTCCATGCAGTGGAATGATTGATTTTAAATTATTTATTGTTCTGTTTAGATCCCTTGCCAGACTTATTGGCATCCACAAACCTCTTTCTGGTAAATGGTGTTTTATTAAAACCTTAAAAACAACTCTTTAATTATTCCCTCCCCCAGGTAGTCTCCTTTTATAATCTTCAGATTAATACATTTACAAACATAAATTGCTGAGGATCCATTCAGATAGTTTCATCAAATGTAACCACAATTTGTGACAATGCATGTAGCACCGCCCAGTATTGGCCAATGCACATGGGCCAACTGATCGGAAGCCGATTAATCGATTATTGAAAAAGTTGACAACTTTTTCAATAATCGATTATAATCGATTATGTCGATTAGTTGTTGCAGCCCTACAGAGCACCACACCACAATATGCATGTCCAATTTTTTGGACATTAAGGTGCACTGCGATCCCATTCAAACTGAGTTGCCTGCTTTGACACAGCACACCATAACGCACAGGAACACGTAGACTGAATGGGCCCTTAGAGCAGAACTAAAGTATATATTTTTAATGCAAACACTTTAAAATTGCAAGTTAAAAATAGTGCAAGCATACTTCCAAGTCTGTGTTAGCGTTTTCTGAGCCATTTTTAAAAAATGTATTTAATTTTTTATCCGATTAACCGATTAATCGAACTTAATAATCGGCTAACTAATCGATTTTGAAAATAATCGTTAGCTGCAGCTCTACTTTATCCATATGTTATATTATTAATATGCCATTTTGCAGAGTCAATTCCATTAACTTCCTCAGCATTAGTGGGAGGTGATGAAGGCAGTGGTACTGTCAGAGGAAAGTGATGTAGTCATTCCCGCACAAGAAGTCCACTCTATGAATTACTTTAATTGTTTACTAGGAATTCAGTAAGTAATAGGGCAGCTAAATCTCCATCATGATCCTCCCTTTCTCCTATTCTTTTTATCAGCCATTTGTTATTTATTTTACTAAATGCAGCTGTCTATCAAATGAGAAGGAAGAACACAGTGCAGACTTGGGAGGACCCACATTGTCTCTGTCCCTTATGCAATTGAAGGAACATATGAACATACCAAGGGGAAGGTGTGGAAAGCCTATGACATGTGAGCTCTGCAGCCAGCAGAGGTCAAGCCAAGAGGTCATAGAAAATCCTAAATCCTGCTGATGTGCCTGCATGGCAGCTTGAACATCTTTGAAGAAAGCCACAAGACACATTGTTTTGCAAGTGTGCATGCATTTTTTAACTTGCAGTGTTTTATTTAGAAAAATTAACTTTTTGCTTTGTTTTTTGTATGTAGCTAGGAAGCATCTGAACCTGTTATTTCCAGTGCATCCAGCAATCTGTTTGTGATGCTCAGTTCCATCAGTTTGCCTGTAGCACTTTCTTGTGTATTCCAGGTGTATAAACCATTCTGATTACTCACATTAATCCTGTGTATGTTGCCTGGGGTTACGTCCCTTTTCCTGCTGTCACAGTCTACGTTAGAGATCTGTGATGCAAAGTATATAAAATGCGCTGTTGCAGTTCCCTGAACCCCAGTAAGTGGAGGTTGATTTTCGTACTTGGGGGTCTTTCAGGAACAAAAGCAATTGCAAAGTATTCCGTTTTAATATTCATATTTTCAGATTGCAACTCTGTATATCAGCTGCTTATTAAGCCACAAACCTGCCTGTAATAAGTTGTCTCTCTCTTTGTAATAAAATGGACAGTATTGATGGCTTTCTCAAGGGGGAAACTGCATTCAGCACAATTTGTCTTTTAATATCTACCCACACTTACACTTACTCTAACTGTGTAGGCTTCTCTTTAAAAGACATAGGGTATGGTTACCATTGACCCCCCCATTTGCAGGGGACAGTCCCCATTTCAAGGGGCCTGTCCCCAGCAAACAAGAATCTCCTGTAAAATCCCTAGAGGGGTAAGGCTCACGGTCCAACCAGCACTGCACAGATGGCGTGGCCACCCCAGTATGGCACTGCTGCTGCTAATTGGGCATGTGCAGTAATGATTTAGGCAGATAGGCTTTCCTTTTCCTGCTTTTCCAGCTATTGCCAAGCAATCAATACAAAAAATGGCAACATCTATTGCAATAGGGTAAAAAAAAACGCTGCCGTGGTCTCAAAGGCTACATCCAAGGGCAGCAAATATTGCATGGGTGGCAAGGTGCAAGTGCACACTATGTAATAAACATATAAATATACGAAATACTCTACTTTCTGGTAATCCGGTAACCTTAGCATATGGTCTATTTATACGTATAATGTTATTACAGAAGATTTACCCAAAGTTCACCCAAGAATCTCACATTTTTCTAATTAGATTCCATTGGTAAAAAAATGGGAATCCTAGCTAAAAGCTGTGTGAATCTTGCATGCAAACATGTATAAGTAGACCCCATAGTGTATACATGCCCCCTTATTTTGAGTCTGTTGCTGCAGCTTAAGTGTCAAAAGTCACCTGAAGTGTGTCACTTTCTACCTTTTCAACTGTCTGACCTCACAGTGCCTTCCACCACCTTCTGAGAGTACGTAATACTTGCAGACTTCAGGCAACATTTGAGAGCCATTCACACTATTAGGTTGTGGTGACGTACAAGTGGTAATGCACCATAAAAAAATACTGCTCATTACCATGCATACAATGATGCACTACACTGCAGCAGTGTGAATGGGCCCTGACACTGGAGCTGCGTCAGGCTCAAATAAAGGGTGAATTATAAATCATTTATAGGTTAGACAGTCACAAGTATAATATGTTCAGTGTCATGTCACTCAAGCTATTCTGCAGCAATTATAGAATGGTGCCCTATTGCTATAGCAGGAGCTCTATCAATAGCTATACATTAGCCCAGAAAGTAATCAGAGAAATGTGTAGCTGCTCTGATCTCCACTGAAGCCAGCTGGTAGCATCCAGGATGCTACCTGCAGGCTTCTGTGGAGATCACAGGGATTCCCCCTTTGGCTTTTATAGATGCACTTCTTCCTGCAAAAGGTCACACCAACCTAACAGAGTATCCTCTTCCTTCCTCCTGAAGAAGCCCCTATATTGGGCCCAAAGCTCATTGAGGAATATTGGAACCCCTTGATACCTTGACACCATGATAATATCACATTTTTTGGACTCTATATGGTCTTCGGATAAGTAATCAATATTGCTGGTATCTTTATAAGAGATGTCTTGATCATATGCCACAATATGAAGGAAGGATCACTGTTTTAAGTGTTTTATTATGCACAATCAAATTTTATTTGATATTTTTGTATAAAATAAAGATGTAATCTTAACCTACTTCTGTGCTACATCAGTGGTGTTTTTGATACCTTAAAAGCCTTTATCTTTGCCGCATTATTATACATGTCCTCTTTGGGTGTGGTATCGCCTTTGTTCCATATTTATCCCCAAATTCTATATATAGCATTTAAATCAACACTAGCAATGCTCGGCCTAATCTTTTAATCAGACCCAGGGATTAGTGCTGTGTGCATGTTTACATACATTTGCACATCACGTGTGGGATTATAAGGGAAGTGTGCAGTGTTTGTCTTTTTTCTTCTACAAGATGTGCTTTGTGTATTTGCCAATTTGTACCACAAGAGCTGATGAGTACATCTCTAAACCCTCTGGCTTTATGTATTTTCTTATATTTTGCATTTCAGCACTACAATGCTTAAATTGCGCAGCACATGGCAAAGGCAAACACTTCTTCTCTATGGTAGACCTTTGCTGGCATATTTAGATGGACACTCCAGTCACAAGTGATATTGAAATCCTTACATGTAAACATGGAGCACACCCTACTTGTCTTGTACTTCAGTACTATACCGGTCCATCATAATACCTTTGAGTCAGTAATCGGGTGATCTGAAAACACCTGCTTGTGATGCAGACAAGGAGTTCGTCATCCTATATACAAAAATCTAGATTTAGGGAAAAAATGGCAGCACTAAGACGTGTCCTCCATCCAACAATTAGAGCCAAGCCTTCTTTGGAAGTTTGGATGTGTTTGGAAATAAAAGAAGCAGAAAGGAAGAAAGTAGCATAGCACAGGCTTTAGATTATGACTGCTGTAGATTAAGGTAAGCGGAATTAAATGTCCTACTTAAACAGACACTGTCACCTTGTCCATTCAGGGCAAAGTGACAGTGTCTTTGTAAGGGTGCCCTCCTGACCCGCTGATACTCATCTTACCAGTGCTCCCCCTCTTCTCCCTCTATTGCAGCTGGCAACAATAGCCTGTGTTCAGGTTAGAGAAGAAGCCCTAAATGGGCAAGGTGACAATGTTTCTTTAAGCACATTTGCAATGTGGCAATAATAAGAGCATTGATTGGTTTTAATTCTTTGGTTGTATTATTATTTTTCAATTTTATTTCTCAGTTGAGTGCACAAAAATAAAATCTTTATGAAAATGACGTGTAACGATATGTACTGGCTGTCTGCTCTTAATTATGGACCAGGCCTTAGCTTCATGGCAAATATTGCATTTATTTGTTTTTAAAAGTGAAATAAGTCATGTTTAGCAATAGTGTCCCTCATTTCTGATTTAATCAGTGACCCCATCATTCTTTTTATGGTTACAGTGCAGACCTCTGACACATCTCGTTGCTGTTCTGTCTCTCCTGCCTCTGCTTTTGCCATTGCTACTGCAGCAGCTGGACACGGAAGTCCGCCAGGTGAGAGTAACAAAATGATTGAGACACTTATTGTATGGGCACTGTAGGGGGCATGTATAAAAACTTACCTGGCAATTTCTAAAATTCACAAAATAATGAAAGACATATACACGCCAACATAGAGACTGTTCCATATTAAAGTGTATACAAATGCAATTGGTTCTGGGTGAATGATCAAAGGCTGTGTCTCTCGATGAACTCACAAGGAGGAATTTTACGGTGAGTAAAAAAATTCTATTTTGATCTTTTTGAATAGAGTAAGAAAGTGTTAAGACAGTCATCATATATGTTGGCTGTCTGTGTCTCATCAGTGAGATTTCACTTCCTATCCCAGACATGCAGCAGGTAATAAGAGGAAATCTCTCCAAAGTGAGGGGATACCCCCTCTTAATTGTCACCAGAACAGGTTTCCCCATTAGAAGGTTTTTTTTTTCACCTCCTGTTATTGTGATGGTTCTTACATTTTGGATTTATCCTTACTTTCCGAGCAGAGACAGTGGTCACCAGGACAAATTAAGGGGCTAGTTTTCCAAAGGAGGACAGAGACAGAAATAAAAAGCTAATTAGAGGAATATAATGATGGTGCCACACCACTAAGTTTAGAGGTCAAAGTGATGATCTTTTTAATTTACAAATATTGGAGCTACGATTACTTCCTCTTCTAACCTCTCCGTCCAGGGTGTCCTGTGATGTCCCTGGTAGATGTGAGCTGCCTAACTAGAGCCATTGAGTTCCAACAACCAGTTGCAGTTAAAATATATCAGACTGTAATACCCCAATATCCAGCACCTCTTATTCAGACCATTTGACAGTGGTTCTAACCCCTCACCATTCAATCCAAGACTAAAAAACAAACTTTGGCTTTAAAGCGCTGCGCAAACTGTTGGCGCTATATAAATACTATGTAATATTAATAAATGCCCTTTAAAGCCGTGGTTCTCAACCTGTGTAACCTCAGGACCCACATTTGTCCTTGGTCTTTAAGTCGCAACCCAAGTCGTATTGCATTGGAACACGCTTTATTGCAGTACCGCGCTTTCTGGTGCAGGTTATCAAACTGTAGGCGGGAGGTGTGTTTGGGGTGCCATTCAAATGAATGGCAGTAAAACGCACCTCAAGCACCAGGCCGCATGGTAGGTGTGATAGTGTGGTACAGTGTGTTATTTCACACGGGACTGTGCGATTAACGCACTGTACTAGTGTTAACGGGCCCTCAAAACCACTGACAGACACACAAAACCACAGACACAATCTCACACACTCACAGATATTCTCACACACATACACACTTTTTTTTTACACACTTTTTTTTAAGATCCACCCAGTCTCCCTACCTAACGAGAAGTGGAGTGGGCTGCTGTGCTGTGATGGAGCTCCATCCATATGTGCATCCAGGCACCTCTACAGGGCATGCAAGGGAGCTGTAAGCAATGCAAGTATGGATGCCAGAATGTGACGTGACTCCAGTCCAGGCACCTCTACAGGGCACACAAGGAAGCTGTAAGCACTGCAAGTATGGGTGGAGGACGGGGAGGAGATCAGTGAATGGACGTTCACCGCTCTCCTCCCCAGCTTCCCACCAACACGCGAGGTGCCAATTGGGGCCCGTAGGAGGGGCAGCTTAGCCCGGGAAACACGACGGGGGTGTCGGGCGGCCCATTTACCGGATCGTAGATGCAATCTAGTGGCGCTTCTATGGCCACCGGCTCTACAATTATGAACAGCGTCCTGGCGGTAACCCCTTCAAAATTCATGACGGGATTATCCCGTCATGGGTCGTGAAGGAATTAAGGTAAGATGTCTCACAAACTATTTATGTAATATACACTGCCTGGCCAAAAAAAAAGTCACCACCTGGATTTCGAGCAGTGTTATAATCAATTGGTCAGTTTTAGGTTCAGCAACATTATGTCCCCAAAAAATGAGGTCACCTGCCGACGTGAAAATACTGAATGACCAGGTTTTTCCATCAATGGATTTTTCCTTTCCTGATGAATTGGGCACAGTCCAAGATGACAATACCAGGACTCATCGGGCTCAAATTGTAAAAAAGTGGTTCATGGAGCATGAGACATCATTTTTACAAAGGAATTGGCCACCACAGTCCAGACCTTAACCCCATTGAGAATCTTTGGGATGTGCTGGAGAAGACTTCAGCGGTCCGACTCCCCCACCATCACTACAAGATCTTGGTGGAAATGAATGTAACTCTGGATGGAAATAAATGTTGTGACATCGTATAAGCTTATCGAAGCAATGCCACGGCGGATGCGTGCCGTAATCAAAGCTAAAGTTTGTCCAACAAAATTTTCGCGTTTTTGACTTTTTTTTTTTGGCCAGACAGTACATCCCATTTCTATATGAATAATTATTTTTTTCTAGGTCAACTTATTGGTATCATCACTCTTGTCTCATTGTTGGGGCAGGTGTTTTGTTGCGCATATTCCTGCAAGCAGAAGCAATCAGGAACACACTGGGATGTGTCTCCATCTCTCAGGGGATTCTCAAGCTGCCACACTGTGTTGGAATCCAAAAATGTGATACTCATTGAGGCAGAAAATGTTCGCCTAGGAAAAGGAATGTTCGCTTAGCCTAGTCAGTTTGGTGAAGATGTGTTCAATTGGAATACACACTCTTTTGCTTGCTTATGATTGGATGATCGAAGTGAACATAGCTTAGATCAGGGCACATTTAGGTTGTAGTTAAGATCTTCTCCCTTAGTACTGTAAATTAAACCCATTGAATAGGATATCTAGTTTAAAGCTGAACTCTATTGTTACCTTCAGTCTTGCACAGTTGTATAAGCTCTTCTTTACTGAAATTGCTTACTCTGATTTCACTGTTCACTTCTTATACTGTGCATTAGAAGCTGCAGCAGCTCAGACAGCTGATAGTATTTCCTGTCTGGGGGAAGTCCAGCACAATCATGAGCTTTTCTCCCCAGCCTAACTGTCCCTAGCCTATCCCACTAGTTCACTGGATTTCAATCATGGAGGCTCAGCATCATATGTAGGCGTTACCTAGGGCCCTTCTCCATTTGAATATCTGTGAACGTTCATTTTGCAATACTGCATTATGGCCACTAGATGGAGGGGATGAGCATAGAAAATAAATACTTTTTCCTGTTCTTCTCAGCTCTATGTAGTGGCCATAATGCAGTATTACTTTGTAGTCTTTGACTATCTCTCACAGTATGCCTGTAGTCTTTTACCATCTCTCGTAGCATGCCTGTAGTCTGACCATCTCATTTAGCATGTATGTAGTCTCTGACCATCTCCTGTAGCATGCCTGTGGTCTGTGACCTTCTCTTTTAGCATGCCTGTGGTCTGTGACCTTCTCCTTTAGCATGCCTGTAGTCTCTAAACATCTCCTGTAGCATGCCTGTAGTCTCTAAACATCACCTGTAGCATGCCTGTAGTCTTTGACTATCTCTCATAGCATGCCTGTAGTCTTTGGCCACCTCCCATAGCATGCCTGTAGTCTCTAAACATCTCCTTTAGCATGCCTGGAGTCTTTGACCATCTTCTTTAGCATGCCTGTAGTCTCTGATCATCTCCTGTAGCCAGCCCGTGTTCTCTGACCATCTCTCACAGCATGCCTGTAGTCTTTGACTATCTCTCATAGCATGCCTGTAGTCTTTGACTATCTCTAATAGCATGCCTGTAGTCTTTGACTATCTCTCCTATCATGCCTGTAGTCTTTGACTATCTCTCATAGCATGCCTGTAGTCTTTGACTATCTCTCATAGCATGCTTGTAGTCTTTGACTATCTCTCATAGCATGCCTGTAGTCTTTGGCCATCTCTCATAACATGCCTAGTCTTTGATCATCTCCTGTAGCATGCCTGAAGCCTCTGATCATATCTTGTAGCATGCTTGCAGTGTCTGCTAGCTTTTTTTAGGATTGCACTGAATATTATGTGCAGCCTCTTGATGATGTCAGAGGGCACTTGAGACCCCCCTATATCAAGTTGACCACCACTGATCTAGAAACTTTACTAGGCTTTCTTATTGTCTGTATTCCTCTCGGGCTACACTCCTCACTTCCTGTCCCAGCGATGATGTGCATTATGACAGGAAGTGAGAAGAAATCTCTTCAGCAGAGGAGAGCTTTTAACCCTTCTCCACCCCTCGCTAAAATTTGCAAATCAAGGTTTTAGATAAAATTATACAGTATAGAGGTGATGTCTTTCAATAAGTAAAGTAAACACACACTGGCTCCATTTTTTTAAATGCTTGTGTTTACACCTTATCTCACTGTGTGTGTGTTTGCTTCATGTGTTTCTATGCTATCTTTCCACAACTGCAACCTCTCTGTGATAGGCAGATACAATGCAATCTCCTTTAACATATGTAGCATCTGTCCTCACAGATGTGTGCTGTTACACAAGACAAACCTCATCATTGTTCTCATGACAGCTAATTTGTAAAATAATTTAAATATGTATGATAATGTATGTGCAGCAATAAGAAGCAAACAACACGCAGTGCTGTCATGTGAATAAGGTTCATCAATCACAACACTGTCTGCACATGTGAGGTGAACAAGTGCTAACACTGCTGCCAGACTGATAAGATGTGCACTGATGGGGTTGTTTTGTCATAGTGTATGTCAGAGGAATCATACATAAAGACACACATCTATTCAAAGCATGGAGACACTTTCCCATGGACTGATCTAAATATATAATCTGCAGGAATAGTGAAGGAAATAGTTTGGACATATAGAGATTGATGATGAAAAAAAAAGTGTGTCAGCTGTAGAGAAATACAAATCCCAGCAATGCATTATAGAGCACCATGTGTGTGAAAGTGCAGGCTTACCTGAGCAGTCTTCCAGCAACTTGCTTCTGAGATCGGACCTGTCTATCAGCGGCTGTCATCCCCCCACAACAGCTACCCCTTACTACATCTCCCCGCGTCCCTTGCCGATTGTGGATGGGCAGGAAATGTGAGGCATGGAGGAGGTGCGGCGTGTGGAGCGTGGATGCGAGCGGTTCC